ACACACACACACACACACAAACAACACACACACACACACACACACACACACACACACACACACACACACACACACACACACACACACACACACACACACACACACACACACACACACACACACAAACTAACAAATGATGAGCAAGAAAGAGTAACAATAATTGTAAGTTAACTACATATTGATAAAGAGTCATTTAGATCGGAAGTTGAGGTCCTATTATCATAATCCCTCCTTACGGTGAAAAAAGAAATATGTTCCTGTGATAAACTATCCTTATCTATGAAAAGTAGGAATCTACGATTGTATTTGATATTATAAATTGTTATTATTATAAAGATTGTACTCACAATGTTCCTTTCCAGCTAGATATAATATCAAATTATATATTTTAATTACTTGTTTCCCATCTCTTGAATCTCAAATTAATAAGAGTTTTAGGTGTCACACATCTATTATGTAAAGTATTTTATTATGTAATTATTTTCCGCACGAAGTCCATACACAGAATCCTATGTGAGCTGCTCTTTGAAAGTTTGGTCAGAACTTTGTTTCTCATTTTCACTTTCGTTGTGTATTCCTAAACAACGGAGCTCATGTGGTGAAGGCACCTGCGTGACAAATGACCGCCACCAAAATAAGTGTTTGCCATGTCAATGAGACACACACACACACACACACACACACACACACACACACACACACACACACACACACACACACACACACACACACACACACACACACTCCATATCAATGAGAAGGTGAAAGGTCTCCATTTACATCTTGTATTAATTATGAGTGACAAGCCAAAGGTCACTGAGGGAGAAGAGGCCACTGGTATGGACAGAATATAGATCTACCTCTTCTCTCGTCTCCCTTTTTCCCCTATCTATCACTCTGTCTCACCCCCCTCTTGTTTCCTTCACTTATCTTTTGTCCCCCCTCCATGCTCTTTTTTTGTTCTCACTTATTCCTGGCCTTTTTTCTTTTCTCTTTCTTTTTCGAAGTGTGAGAATTTCAATGTTCTTTTTATCGTCCTTCCTGTTTTTCCTTGATCTTTTTATCTGTGGATCTCTATTAATCTCTTTGGATGTTTTTGTTTCTTCCCTTCTCTTTTGGTCTGTTTTCAGTGATAGGTGTGGGGTGGTGTGCAGAGAGGATGCTCGCCACTGTTGCAGAATACCCCATTGTAGCTTTGGGTGAACTCAACATACATTTATAAAAGTTAACATCCGTTAACAGTAGGATTGTGTCTGCACTTACAGTTAGTCTCTGTGTGTAAGTGTGTTTGTTTGGTTTGAGGCTCAGGGTTATTTCCTGTTCTAAAGAATGGCACAAACTTGTAGGAAGGGCCCTAGAGAATAGCAGGCAATGGGCAGTGAGTGGGTGTGTGTGTTCGTAAGTGTCTCTAAGTGTGTGTGTGTGCGCGTGTGTTTTCAGGCCCCTCACTGGTAAACAGATGGCACCGGCACCACAGGTAGAGTCCACATTTCTTCACATGCATCACAAATGACAATAGAAACACACATACACAATCCCTCATATGTATAATGTATAGTATACTGCATATACCATATGGAAATATCCGCGATACACATTTGTTTACATGTTATGAAATTATACATGTAAAGGCATGTTTTGGTTTGTGGCCATAAGTGTTTGCTTGTGTGAGAAATGTTATCATATAGCACATCCTGCGGGAATGTGCAGCTAGGGCCAAATGACAACATTAATCAAGGAGGATACTCACAGTTAAATGCATCCATTCTCCCATCATCGAGCGTTCACTGTGTGTGTGCTTTTCTGTGTAAGTGTGCATTTACCTCCACAGTGAGAGCAGTAACAGCAGTTGAGTTGAGCGTTGGGTCCTGTTGGTGCTTCTTGTAAACCAGTCTATAATGGGAAATGAGACCGTTGGGCTGCCCCGGTTCACTCCATTTCAGATGGGCTGAGTATGCGCCTGTCAAAGTGCACAGAATGTGTGGAGTTTTACAGTAATTCAATACAGGAACATTTTAACAACAGCAGATTGCATGTGACTCGGTGAACTTACCAGTGGGCGTGACAGTGGGAGGGGCCATATCTTGTGGTTCGGCCTGTAGAGTCTGAGCTAAAGCCCATTGGCTCAGCACGGAGCCTTTGGAGTTGTAGGAGCGGACCCTGTACTGGAGGAAGCTGAAGGGTTGCAGGGCGGGGCTTGCATCAACAAATTCAAGTGGCCCACTGGACCAGATGAACACCAGCAGCTCCTCCTCTGTTCCTACTGGACGCCTTTAACAGAATAAAGACTTGGATTAGCCATCATCAAAATGTGTCCAATATAATTTAATAAACTTAAAATGTTTTGTTTATATAAATAAATATACTAAAAGTTATCTTAGATTAGAAATTCCTAAATTGTAATTAGTATTTGAAAAGTTACACTTAAAGGGACAGAACACCCCATATTTTAATCCCATTTATCAATCTAGAGTTGTTGACTTTTGGAGATATAGGCTTTAGAGATTTTTGCCAAAGTATATTTTCAAGTATGTTATTGATAGCTATTTTAATATATCTTATTATTCTTCATTGTACTAAAATTAAGCTCACTTAGTTTGTGTGGAATTAGAAATAAAAATGGATCATCACGCCTTAAACATCATGTTTAAGTCCCTGGCTGATGCAAGCATCCCGATGTCTTGGTAAGACCCTTTGTCTGTGATTATGTAGAGTTTCAGGTGTGAGAGAGATTTTCCTATTTTATCCAAGTCCCTGTCTGCCTGAGTCTGATCATGCCAGGTGTGTCAGTGTGTGTGTGTGAACTTCTATGCTAATGTGTGTTTCCGGAGGACTTAAAGGGCTTAGTCTGGTCTGACCCTGCATACAGATCACACACTCTTTGGTCAACAAGCAGACCACGACCTTCAGCATGCATTAATACATGCACGCAGATGCAAACGCACACACACAAAGTAAGAAGAATCGTAGATAGATCACATATCATCCGTTTTTTTGTCTATAAAGCTAATTATATGTTTGCATAGTATGTGAATTTCATTTGTGTGGTACTTCTAGTTCATTAGTGATAAACTGAGTAAATTATGTGATCACATTTCCACATTGATTTGTAAGAGTAAATACAAAATGAGGCAGATACTGGTCATTGGTCTCAGTGTACTTCACATGCATATGTGTGTATATGTTTTTTTTGTCATGGGTTACCTGTATATATGGTAGGATGTGATGACTCCGTTGGGTTGTTGTGGGGGTGACCAGTGGATCTCCAGGACCCTGGCTGCAGCTGCCCTCACAGTGGGGGGCAGCAGACCTTCTGGGGCGGTCTCTAAGGTACGAATATACACTTCCCCTCCAACTCCACACCCATCTACAAGGTGCAAAACATGAACAATTAGTCACAAAGCAGACATTTCTAGGCAAAAATAGTCAACCGTTGTCTTCTAAATTCATGAAATAAGTATATTAATGGACTGTGTTCACTGTTTCAACTTTTAAGAACATCACACAAGAGTAAAAGTGTAACATTTTTGTATTTAGTTTTGCCAAATTGTCTCTTTATAGTGCACAACTAATGATAATATTTTATGTTTTATTCCAAAATCAGTGTTATCAAATACTAACCACTCTGACAGGCCTGCACTCTGATGTAGAAGGTGGTGAATGGCTGTAGACCCGTCACAGTGAGGTGAAGGTCTGGGCCAGCATGATGCATTAAGATATTGTCACTTCCTGGATTTAAAAGGATGTTGTAGTTTATAGGCTGACTGCTGTGGAGCTGAGCTGTGGAAAAGGAGAGACATACAGGAAATTATTCAAACCCATGCTAACTGTGATACCTAAATACCGCCATGTAACAGAATTTAGGCCCCCACTTGTTACACAAGTATCGCTCGTATTTCTCTGTGTTGCATACTTCGACATAATTATGTGGTTTCTAGTTTAGAAAATAGTGAACTTCAGATTTTAAGCTATAGTCTCTATTCAAATATGAATACATAGAAGCATACTTATTTGCCTATATTGGAGTTTTGAAACCGACTTATTATGCCCTCACAATCCTAGCATCTTCGTCACACAACCAGATAAAAACACACACATGTATACACAAAGACACAAACACACACACACACACACACACACACACACACACACACACACACACACACACACTGAAGTCGAAAACACTCCAGATTCTGGGCTCAGGGAGTTAACCAAGCGAGAAAACCCAGACGATATTTCCTCACCTTTAAAATCAACCCGTAATGACGATAGAATAGGCCTGCCTATGGAAATGTCTCCACAGTGATGTGCACACAAACACAAACACAACAAATACACACGTATGAAGACTCATGCATAAACACAGACACAAAACACACACAACACAACAAAGTGAAGTGTCTTTGCTAGTTGGCCCTATAAGCAGTTTCTGAAATAGGAAATCAGCCTAATGAGAGAGTAATAGTCAATGATAGATGGGTTAGGGCAGACAATCACTGCCCCATAAGCATGAAACTCAGCCCTGAGTGTGTGCTCATGTAAACCTGGGGTGTGTGTGTGTGTGTGTGTGTGTGTGTGTGTGTGTGTGTGTGTGTGTGTGTGTGTGTGTGTGTGTCCAGGTCTTGAGAGGCCAGAAGGTGAATAAAAAAACATCACAATGCTTTTGTTTCAGTCTGGCCCCTCGCTTTGTCTCCTCCAATCTGAGGAACAAGGGATTCACAAGGAAGAAAAACTTCTCTCTGCTCAGTTTAATATTGTGGATTTATTTGTTATGCATTTTTAAAGCCAAATCTAATAAATATAACAACCATTGTTATATTGTTGGTTAGTTTTATTTTTAGATCATTGGAAAAATAATTAATGTATGTTTGTTTCTGGGAAATAACTTTGCAAAGTTAATGTAAGTAAAATGTTGACTTTAATAATTCGACTAAATGCTGTTTTATATAGAAAAACTGTAGCTGCCATTTGACACGTGCATAACAAAGAACGTCTTAGTTACTCGACACCGCTGAAAATACATTTTAAATTCTTACAAACATTGAATTGAGCCCCCCTGTCTCTGTGATCACTTCACAGTAACCACACAATTACCCACAATGCCACCATTGGGCATGGTACATCTAAACACCGATAGCATTACAAGGAGCAACACAATGTGTATATATATTTTACCCTTGATACACACATAAACAAGTTAGTTATCGTTACAAACACAGTGTCTAATTTGTGATGCCATTGGGTTCAAACTAAATGCATCCATCCATCCATTCAGACAGCTACTCACCAGGAGGGGTCCAGGCCAGAGAGACGGAGTGGGGGCCCAACACAGTCACATTGTGGGGAGGTTGGATCCCAGTTGGGCAAGAGACTGGTGTTTGTATAACATATTTGTCACTCACACCGGTCCCACCCCCTGTGCTGGCCTGCAGCTCATACACATACCTGAGGAGATGGTGGGGTAAAGAGAGGAAAGCAGAAAAGAGATAGCAGAGGAGGGACACAGAGAAAAGAGGAAAGAAGAGAGAAAGAAAGAACATGCAGAGAGACAGTTAACACAACTGTACCAAAGCATAGAGTAAACATGTTTGGTCCTGGTCAGGATCATGGCCCACAGTCAAAGGGAGTATTCATAAAAATAGCAGAACTTACCAGGTACATACGATAATGTATTTTATATTGTTTGGTTTATTTTTTAGGTTTTTTTAACTTGAGAATGCTGTGTGTATTTTGCTGGACAAAAACGGAGAAAGAAACCAAGCTCAAATGCCCATTATACTTTCAAGGAAGGTCATTCCTGTAAGTAAACACAGGAGTTGCATCAACAGGGAATCTGTTGCTTTTTTTGAAACAAGTTTTAATGTAATTAAGAGTCTGAGTTGCAGAAGTGTTGTTGTAGATTATCTCCAAGGGACTTTTTAGAATTGGAAAACAGGGTATGGATGAAAAACTGTATGTGATATGCATCTATTTTTATTTTTTTTGAAAGGAGAAGATCATGTAAGGTTTTTTTCTTCTCCCTTTTCGCTCAATGGTGTGTTGTAGAGACATGTTTTGTTGGCAATTATTGTACATTGAGTTTTGCGTACCATGAGCGGGACAAATAAAAATGAAATGAAATATATAAGAGCAAAAACTGAGAACGGAAGTCCCAGCTTAGCATGAGCACAGGGAGGAATGTAATCTGTCACTTGATACAGAATTTGTGTCATAAAAGTTTTCTTGCATGGCAAAAAAGGGCAATTGTGCGGGTATTAAGATCAACTCGGTTGCATAGTTTCCGTCAAAGATATTTCATGACATTACAAAAATGTCTTCAAATTATAGGCAAAGGAAAGACTCACAGCCTCTTGCTCTGCCCTCCACAAATAGATCAAAAATGAATGTACATAGTGTGCTCATGTCTGTGTGTTTAAGCTCATACACTGACCACACTTGAGGTCCATTTTTTTCTCTTTCTCCCACTCCATCATACACCTCTCTTTCTCTTACGTCTGTCTCGCTGCCCCTCTCGGCCCGCTCTCTGCCTCTCGCCCATGACATCATAAGATAGATTTCCCTTTTAAGAGCGTGTGGCTGGCTGGTGCTAAAGCCTACATTAGCTGTGTAAGTGGGCCACCATTTAACATTAAAAGCCTTTAATTTGCTATAAACTCCAGCACACATGCATTAATAGGCGGTGCTGTTGGGTTATTGTTCCTGCGCAGAGCGTTTCCAACAGGAGGCCATTAGCACCAGTGCAGTGGGTTAGAACGCAGTCAGGAAAAGGTATTAAAACTACTCATATGTTGCTCTCATAGACACACAGAGACACACAGAGCAAAACATACATAAATACAACTCATTGAGACGGACCAACTGTGGAGAGGAGAGACAGGAAGAGAGAGAAATCATGAGAGGAAGAGAGCGAGTGTGATGGAGAGGAAGGAGTGTATCATGGCATAGGGTTTCAGAGGGAGAATGAATTCAAACACTTCATCACTGGAAGATATTTACTTAAATGTAAACACCGCCTTGGGATATCAAAAGTCAAACGGTGTGCGTGTGTGGTAGGTAATCGTTGAATGGGCCATTTGCATCTGTATGGCTGTGGTTGTGGCTGTGTGTGTGTGTGTGTGTGTGTGTGTGTGTGTGTGTGTGTGTGTGTCTTGCGGGGCCAGCCAGAGGGAATAGGTTAATTCTCTCGTCATCTTAGACACTTCCTGGGCTGCCGAAGCAAAGTGACAGCTAATCAACATTGTCATAAATAATCAATGGCCACTTTGAGCAGTCTCATGCACAGACACATGCGCACACAGAAAGGCATGCGTGGGTACACACTCACACACGCGGGCAGAAACCCACACAAGACTGCCTGGATAATGGGGCCGGTGCTCCCTGTGTAATTCTTGGCGCAGAGCTAAATTGGGAAAAGAAGGGAAGGAGGAATGAGGTAAGAGGGAAAGGATGGGAGGGGAGGGTGAGAGGAGAGAGAAGTGAATAGGAGGCGAGACAAGTGATGAGAAGCGAAATGTCGGGACGGGAATGCCTTCTGGCAGACTATCTGGAATTAGGGAAAATTAAACGTCACACACACACAGTCCTATCTTCTTTTTTCCTTCCTTTCTTTCTCTTCCACACACACATTGGCACACATTGGAGTACTGCAGGTTGTTATCCCAATAATTCTATTTGGGGAAAGGAGAAATTGTCTCTGGAGAGAGAAGACCAAGGAGAGGGAAAAGGAGACATGAGAGAGAGAAAGAGGAGGGTAGGCGGGGTATCATTTTACACTCCCGTAATTAAAACAGAAAATCCATCTCAGAAAAAAGACACGGATTAATAAAGGTTAAATGAAAATAAACAGATAAATAAAATCTCCGCTCCACTGCTGTCTGCAAGCAAAAGCTAAATCTGATTTGTGTTTTAATGTGTGTGTGTGTGTGTGTACTGATGTTTGTGTCTGTCATTGGCATGTCAAATATTTGCTCATTAAATGGCACAAACAGACATATACAGAGTGCAGTCCTCAGAGAGACAGGGATGGGATAGGATAGGAGATAGGAGGGCTTTTAAAACAGGGTGACCCCCATATAAACACGCATACACTCAAACGGGAAAGTGTAGGAATTAGAGGCATGATTAATTATGAAGCTACAAGTGAATTGTGTTTATGCATGTTTGACTACTACATATGTGCACACAAACACATTTGCATTCATGTGTGTGTAAAGTATGCGAGTGCCTTCTCTCTACCTGCGGTTTGGCACGAGTCCAGTGTCGGTATAATTCTGGTCACGGTGGTCTCCGGTAAAAATAGTGTGGCCGTCTCTGTTCAGTCTGTACTGGGAGATGTGTCCATTAGGTCGGGGGGGCTGATCCCAGTACAGCTCCACTGCAGATGTGTTTATTATCAGATGTCTGGGGCTTGTCCATACACCTGAGGAGCAAAGACGGAAAGAAGAGGGAGTGTTTTCCACGTTAACTTTATTTTGTTTCAAACAACCTAATCAGGAACAAAACTTTCCTTAAAAGATAACTTTCTAATATCAAAGGGACGACAGGTAATCTAACAGCTTGTTTCTGATTGACTGTGCACAGGTTGAGTCACTACTTTGTTAAACGGTAACTGAGAATAGTTACATTTATTTGCATAAGAATGTAGAGAAGTAAGCACACAAATATTACAATGATGGAGAAGAACTCATGAGGTTTTAAAGAAACCAAAGGTGGAACAAAACATAGAACAGGCAGACAAGATGTCATGGTAGTGTTATTTCATTATTTGAAACTAAAAGGAACACAGATGGTCTAAAAGGTTTAACATTTAATAACATTTTTACAAATAAATATGCATTATTTCAGACTAGAATTGTAAATTGAGATATATCGAAGAATAAGTGTTGAGACTGATGGAAGAGAGGATAATACATAATAGAAATGTATGTCTATAGAAAACAGTACAAAAAGAGATTATGCAAGTTAAAAGAGAGACACATGATGGCTTAGCAAGGTAAACATAGGGGGTAAAAAAAAGGTGCAAAAATGGGAAATAATTAGATATTTATTGTGAAAGACTCGGAGGAAAGCACAATGTGCAATTTGTTTAAAGAGAAGGAGAAACAAGACATAAAAGAAGAGGAGTGAGAAAGACGTGGAAAAAAACAGAAATGAAATATCAAGAGAAGGAGAGGCAGAGGGGAGGAAGAGGGGAGGAAAAGGGGAGGAAGAGGGGAGGCAGAGGAGTGAAAGTGAACATGAAAATAAAAAGGAATGAAAAGAGAAAAATCGTCCTAATGAAAGTTCATTAATAAACAAAATTCTGAGACGGCATTTTATTTAGGGAACAAAATAATGTTTTTTCCACTGTAGTCACCAGAGAGGAAGAGGAGACAAAGCTAAAGGTGAAGGAGAGCGAGATATAGAGAGACCAAAGAAAGATGAGAGGGGGAGGATTTAAAAAAGGAGAGCAGTGGGAGGAGAGAAGAGAAGCAAGAGGGAGTCAGTGAGGAGAACATGGACTAAGGAACATCTTGTAGAAATTACCGAATGCTCGATAGATTGCTTTATTTCAGTATTTATCAAAATGGCTAGTTGTTGGTTATTTAAAGTCATTTATATATTTTAAACAATTTAACATAATGTTTTTCCCCGTGACAATAAAAGGAACAAAATATTGATTATTAGAAAATGTTTTTACTTTGCTTACTGCAGGTAATACATTGTTGTGGAAAATGCAATGCAGATTCTAACAGTCTTACATTAGCGTGTTTCAGACACCGCACAAATCCAGACAAGTTTTAAGAATCCGAGTGACCAAATGATTTGGAATTAAATGTCACAAGATGAATTCCTAAGATTTATAAGAAAGGTTTTAATATTTTTCAGGATGTCCAATAATTGCATAATTGTGCCTGTGTGTGTGTGTGTGTGTGTGTGTGTGTGTGTGTGTGTGTGTGTGTGTGTGTGTGTGTGTGTGTGCAGAAGGGCATCTGTTTCCAAAGCCCATTGATTGCAGCGACTTACACATTTAGAGTAAAATGCACAATTGGTTTCCTCAGGCACAACATTTCTATGAGCGGTGTCTTCTATAGATGGCTTTTTCTTTATTAAATATTCTTCACAGTGGCTCTGAGGACTGAAATGAGAGTCCTTATTCCACACAAAGTCAGAGGTCAGAAACAGGCAGGCAGATTATGAACGGTCAACATTTCTTATTACAGATGTATGATGACACCGGAAAGGATCATGTGATTTCCTCTGAGCTTTGGCAGCTATTTAGGAGTTGTGTCAACGACACTTCAAAATGTTTAGGCAAGTAAAAGTAATTCGGTTTTCCTTGCTAACAAGAGTACATGTTTGTAGCAGTGCCAACATAGAAGAGCAGTCATTGGAAAAGGAGACATACATGACCACTGGTCAGACTTTGAGAGGTAAAGGACACATTTTGGAAACATTAAACACCGGGAGTTTTAGGGTGGAAAAGACTATTCGTTTTAAATGCATAAGCTGTCTCCTTATGTCTAGGCTTGTTACCACAGACACCCAACACTGAAGAAAGTTAAAGCAAAAGCAAAGACAAATGCTAATAATGAACTAAGCTTATTGCTATGGAAAATCACTGGTTTGGTAATTCTTCATACTGCAGCCAGCCTGTTTAAAACACAACAGCACACAAACACACCAATTACCTGTATAGGTGTATCTGTTGGCATCTCCGCTGTACACAACTTCCTCATGTGACGCGCACAGGCTCCCATCAAGTTGCAGGTTCTCGTCTGCCATTTTGAATGTATTATGACTTTTATTTGCATGTGTAGACAGACCCTGAGAGAGAGCTTCATGAGAGATGTTGATGGAAGGTGAGTCTGTTGCGTTGGGTGTGTCAGGCTGTGTGTGAGCAGACAGGAGCCATGTGCAGGCGGTCGTAGATGGATCGAGGTCACAAGAGCCACAGTAAGCTGTAGAGGCTGCGGCTAAAGGACAAATGGCGCCCTGCATACATTCGTGCTGTGAAGAGGAGGAGGAAGGGCCAGAGAAGGATGGAGAAAGTGGGGGGAAACAGAGAAGTTGAGAAGACAAAAAAAAACAAGGTTATGGACTGGTAAGAGAGCAGTGAAGAGCAAAGTCAGGGGAGGAAAGACACAATTTGTTATATATGTATTCTAAAGCGCCTCTGTGTCTAACACACGATACATGCCGATTCTTGCTACATGTGTGTATGTTTGTGTGTGGTAAGAATGGTCCTTAATGACATCATTAGAGCTAATGAGAGTTCCTACCCTTTGTCCCTGTGTGTGTGCGCCTCTGATGGTGTATGTGTGTATGCAGCGCCTGTCTCGTGCTGACTTAGGAACACACACACACACCACATGACCCCGGTTGATAAATGGAAGATGACCCAGACCCCAACTCCTGATGTGACAATGAGTGTGAGTTTGGGAGAGGGAGAGACATTTCTTCTGCTGATAACCGCTTAACATGTAAGTAGACGTGTGAAGGCCCGATATTTTGGCAAACAAATATCTTAAATGCTATGGCAACACTGAACATCTATGAATTAATTGTTAGAGATTTTTTTTTAATAAATTGACAATTACAAAATTATTGATAATAATGTGTCATGTCTCATATGGAACTTTCTCTACTAAGAGTGCACACACACACACACACACACACACACACACACACACACACACACACACACACACACACACACACACACACACACACACACACACACACACACACCTGTACCAGCAGGCCGGGTGTGGGTTTGTCAGCACACACGTGTCGTTGAGCGTCATAGCCAATCCCATTGCAGCATTCCTCTTCCTGATGTATGACCTTTGACCCACAGCACTGCAGTGTCACCGTCTCATTGCCAGCAGGGTGCATGCTGGGATTTCCGTCTTTACCAACACAGCAAAGTGAGGTTGAAGAGTTGATATACTCCTGCCCACAGCAGATGAAACCTAAAGAGGAAACAAGCATCACATCATTGTTTAAAACACATTTCAATTCTTGGTCTTACTGTGAGGAAATAATATTTGATGAAGCACCTTTTATTGATGATTTGGACACTATTTCAAGATCTCCAAAGGTACCAATGGCTGTAGGCAGTAAATGTGTTGCTTGGCCTAACTTTCCAGAAATCCTAACAGTGAAGCCATTTCTGATAATGTGGCCACAGACACTGAGCTACTCTTAGTGCATTTTAGATCTGCATATAAAGGTCAACTTGTTAATCCATTGATGGCAAAAAATAAATAAAAATATCACTCTCAAATTTGAAGATTTCTTGCTTTTCTCAGTTTTAAATCATATTACGTTACATCATTTGGGAGATTTGGACTGACAGATCAAGACCTTGAAAAACTGTGATGATAATTGTTTTACTATTGGCTGATTCTTTACAGGCCAATGACTAATCGAGAAAGAATCTGCAGATTTAATAATTTTGTATATAATCGTTAGTTGCTGAAATGCAAGGGCTTTTATCAGTGGGACAGTGAGTGTTTGGACTTTTAATTTTCTTTCAAATGTCATTTATATGCTGTTGTTGTATTTTAAGTTCTTCAACAGTGATGTACTGTATAACATCAATGCTTTTTTGTTCTCTAAGACACGGAATACTAGCCTTTCTATAGTTTTCCTCATCACCTTTTTTGTCCTCTGCTGCTTCTCCATACCTAAGCAGGGCATCACATAATATTACTCATCCTATTATCCTGCACCTTGCCTGTTCTTCCACTTCCTTTCTCCCTGTCCTCTCTTCTGTCCATACTGAAACAAAGATCCAGGCCATGTTGGACTGCAATGTCTCTTCTCTACACTTCCCATACTCCAACTTTGTCTTCTCTTTACCCCGGTTCCCCCATCTGCAAATACTTAGTATTTATGCTGCTGGGGATATTAGCGTGCCTCTCCTCTTATCAAATCTTTTATACATCCTCCTCTTCTCCTTTCCTCTCTTCTATTCGTCTCTGCATACAGCAGTAATATTCAGGCTATGCTGTCGAAAGAGCGCAGGGGGAGAGGCAGTGTGTTTTTCTGAGAGCTGCCATCTCTGACAGTGATAGGTGATGTCTTTTTGCTACCACTTCACCTTCAGCAGCAAGGTGACATTTAAAATACATAAAATCGTTCCATTTCCCTGTAAATGTTTTACAGCATATCATATTGAATATCATATTTCAAGCTTGTTTCCTCACAATCTCAAATACTTCATATTTCTAATAACTTGAGTCCTTTTGAATGATTGACAAATAAAGCAATTCAAGTGCCAGTATTTGAGAAACACTGTAGAATACACAAATGTCATACCCCAACAGAAAAGAGAGGTGCATTGTGTGTGAAATTAAGGTTAGGTCATGCAACAAAACTGGCAGCAGCTTTTGTGGAGCTGAAGATTATAGAGTAAACACTGAGCCTTGTCTCCAGTGGCTCTCCTAATAACACAAGTTGAGCCAATCTGGTTACTTTGACGCCTCAGCTTAGTTAAGGGGGAGGACTGTCAAGCTTTGGCCTTGCAAAGGATTAGGGATATAATATTGTCCTGCTATAATACTGAGTCAGCAAAGTAAGCCCCTGCTGTGAGGATGCATTGGAAGTACAAATGAGCATGGCATGGCACGGCACGGCACGGCTCAACTAAAAGATCATAACGCTGCTTATGGAAGAAGGACAAATTGTATTTTAATGAGACCACTAAAAAAGAATCTTCTCATTTTGAATCAGACTGAAATATATCAAAACCTCTCGGTTTCCTGTGCTTATTTAGCTTGTTTTTTAAAATAATCTAGCTTTCATGAGGTATTTAGCAAATTCATCCTAACAGTTGATGACATGCTGATCCCTGGCACTATCTACCCCCAGCTGTGTTTCCCATTTGATCTGACAGCAGACATTAAACACTAAGTCATTGCTTTGTATCATGGCCTCGCCCTTTAATGGGGCTGCAGCTAGTTGTGGAGTGATAAATAACTTATTGTTTAACAACCCAATCAGCATTCACTCTTTGCACATGAAATGCCGTTCATTTAAGCAATCATTTAATTTAAAGGCCAAAAGTGGAGGATGGCACATATTTTCTACTGCGCTGTTGCAGTACATTATAGCCTCACAACATCCATCACAGGCAACATGTGACAGGAAAATGCATGCGTATGTGTGTGTGATTGTGTGACATAAAGGCAGTCTGACGGCTAGTAACTCACTTAGCAGCGGCAGCTGTTGCAGAGCGGGGGCTTGGTGGCCAATTCCCCCAGCGCCTTACTTCAGCTTCAATGACGTGCAAATAAACAGCTCAACACTTTTCCAAAATAGCTTCTCTCCACTCATCCCTCGTCCTCTCGGCATCCTCACCTCTACGCCCCCTTCCATCCAGACAACAGGCCCAACGCAACTCACAATTTATACTCATCTGCCCCCCTTCCAGTCACTCACTAGCAATCAGACTGGCTTTCAATATATCGTTCATCTTGGCTAATTTCAAACTCTATGCATATCTTGATTCTGTCTTTATTTCTGCCTCGATGAAATAACAACATGATCACCTTTGACCTGAAGTTCAGTATTTATCTCCTTCATCCCTGCATTCCTAACTTTTCCACATCTTCACATATACTGTATCTGTGTCTTCTCTAATCCTAACTTTTCTCTCTTTACGATGCTTTAATTTAATCAGTTTTTCTATCATCCCATAATAATACTACATTTCTCTTGACTATCACTTGTTCCTTTCTCCGTGCTGCATATTTCCTCTTACTCATGTTTACGTCTATCTGATTTACACCTGATTTCCTCTCTCCGTCCATCTACTGCTCTCTATCCCGCTCTTGCTTCCTACTTCCCTGCATCCATTCAATGTTGTAGGTCTACTTTGTTTGTTTACTGTTCTGCCGCTAAACTTCACTATTGTATTATCACCCATTCAGCAGAAATCCAATCCCTGTCTTTGTAGGCGTTATCTGTGAACTGCTGTGTGTGACATGCTTGTACATTTGTGTTAACGTTTTTGAAACACACACCTATTTTCTCTTGCTCTCTGTAAGCTGTGTGTGCATGTGCGTGTGTGTTGACAGCATTTTATCACACACCTCTTGTTTTTCTCTCTTGCTTTGCAGAATGCTTCTGCCCTAATCTTCAGATTTATGTTGGATTTGCATACATTCGTTAATAGCATCGGGAGCGCCGCGTCAACACAAGGTGCTTAGACAACGTGAATTATTATTAGGGTTTCAGTCATTCCACTTAATGATAAGTCAATATTTAGCCCTGCCAATGAACTACTGATAAAAATGTGTGTTGTGGATTAGGGTTATCCGAGCTCTCTAGGAGACCAAACCCCCTCCACAACTTTAAACAAACCAAACACTTTTAAATAACTGAATATATTACAAGGGGTTTGGCACAAAGTGCACACATACTCTGTTTGAGTGCGTGCATACACACACACACACACACACACACACACACACACACACACACACACACACACACACACACACACACACACACACACACACACACACACACACACAAGCACACAGGCACACACACACACACACACACACACACACACAGGCACACACACCACACACACACACACACACAGGCACACACACACACACACACACACACACACACACACACACACACACACACACACACACACACACACAGAGAACGACACAGACACACACAATTATCCAAGGCAAGTTTATTTATACAGCATCTTTCAACACGAGGCAATTCAAAGTGCTTTACAAAAATGAAAGACATTAAGAAACATATTATAAAATGGCTTTTTCAAACACTCATTTAAAAGGAAAAATAATAACGCGTGAATAACGCAGTTACATGAATAAAAGTTACAGTACAGTGTGAGATATGAATCAATATATCAATCATCATCTCTCTATAGCTAAGGCCTTTTTTGGGGGGGGTGTTCCCTTCCCCCTAAACACCTCAGGTTACTCCCTGTTGACCTTCCATTGATCTTAATGTCACCACATCACATATATTGCTATCTTAAACTCATGCGGAGGTTCTTGTTTTTACCACATCGGGCCTAATTAGGGTCATTTTGAGGCCGCCGCCCCCCGAGGCTTCCTGTGATGAGTTAATATGCAGAGAGGGCATTTACTGAGGGGGAAAATAATGACGGCGATGCTCTCCTCGTCATTTTGGAACGCAGGACTCATTCCCCATGACATTAATATCTGCATCCATAGCGTCTAATAAAACAGAGGTAGAGGGATGTTAAAGGGCATGCAGATCACCACAAAGGATCTGACATATTATAATTCAGGAGAAGTACGTCAGCATTCATAATGTGAGTCTGTTCTGTCAGATTAAACGGGATTAATGTGGATGTGAATTTCTTTGAAATCCCTGCGTTGGAAAGGTTGTTTGTAGTCATTAATGGAGGTGAAGGGGTCTTTCTGTTGTGGTTGTTTCGCAATTTTTATGTCAGTGCTTCTTTTACTAGTGACACATGTTGTGTTACAGTGCATTAGTGAAATAGGATATGACGTATATGCTTTTTTAAATAAATGTGACTTGACTCTAGTGATATCTAGCCATGCATCTAATTAGGGTCTTCTTTGCCCCAGGTTTTAACATACATTACTACACGGCTTAGTTGAAGTTGAAGTTGAGGGCGGTGGTGGCGAAGTCGATAGGGACTTGGCTTGGCAACTGGAAGGACACCAGTTCAAGTCCCAGCAAGACCAAGTGCTACCGAGGTGTCCCTGAGCAAGACACACACTCCCTACACTGCTCCCCGGGCGCCGTTCATAATGGCAGCACACTGCTCCTAACACTAGGATGGGTCAAATGCTGAGAAACAATGTCCCCACGGGGATTAATAAAGTATATCAAAATCAAATCAAAGAATACTCGATGCTGATTGGTCAATATGTTCATCCTCTGTGTTTATCATCATTTTCCATCCAATAGCTGTGAAGAT